ATCCCTTCTCCTCCATTCTCCTCTCGGGATCTTGGGCACGCACGCACACGCACCTGGCATGAGTTTAAGCCACCGGGTCCGAGACTCGAACCACGGTTGACAGCGTGGGAGTCCAGCGACATAGCCATTATGCTAACTGCTAGTCCCAAAAGATGTTTCTTTTCATGAGAATGAGGAGACACAGAGAGAAAGACAAGCACTTTCAACAGGGGCTCATCACGATCCCACCCCCGACTCTCAGCCCTCCCATTCATTCATCCAGGATCATGGTGAGCACGCCTGGTGTGTACAGAGTGCTCGGAGACCCAAACCCGTGATGACGGTCCAAGTGCACCCTGTGTCACTGAGCAGCATGTTGGCACCGTGCCACCAAGCCAGCCTGTAGTTGTGTACAGTTTTGTCCCACACTCAAGATAAAGAACAGTTCTCTTGCCACAGAAAAAGTCACAAAATTGCCCTTTTGTAACCACACCCATCTCTCCCTGTCAGCCTTCTATCCTACCATCCCTAACCCCCTGGCAACCACTAGTCTGGTCTCCATTTCTATAATTTTGTCATTTCAAAAATGTTACCTGAACGTAATCACAGTTAGCCACTCCTCACTTAACAACCTTCCCGGTTAATGACCGCTCTGGCTTTCAGCCAGTTCTCCAGCGCAGGGAATCCCCTTTCTCACCCTGCGTCTCAGGAATCCCTTTCTCAGTCTGTGTCTCCTTTCCACACTTGGTTAGATTCACCACACGAAGCGTTCAAGTCACACAAAATCACATATTTTATTGTAAATGTGTACTTTATTTTGCACCCATAGCAATATTCACAATAAATAAAAACAATTACCCTGGATTTGTATTAGTGTATTTTGATATGTCTTATCACTTTCTAGTGCTTATCTAATGTATACTTTTTGTAGGGATAGAATTACATTATTCTAGGGTGGTGTCACATGATCTGTTGAAAAATATATACCCTATGGTGCCACAACACACCACAAGACATCGGCCTTTAAGTTCCTTGCTTGTAGACCAATTCACGGTAGCGACTTATTAATAGTTGTAGGAATGGAACTCTATCATCAAGTGAGGAGGGCCTGTATATTCCCTCGTAAGACTAGCTTTGTTCACTCAGCATGCTTCCAAGTCGTTGCATGTAATCAGCAGCGTGTTCCTTTATCATGGGGTAGTATTCCCGGGTATACATGCACCACCGTTCGTTTAACCGCTCCTGTGGGTTGTTTCTGGCTGTAGCTATTACAAAGAAAGATGCTACAAACATTGGAGTACAGGTTTTTGTAAGAACCTAAGTTTTCATTTTTCTAAAATAAATGCCCCCGAGTATCATCGCTGAGTTATATGGTAATGGCATGGTGATTCCACAGGTAGTTTTTGTAGGAACTGACAGACCTTTCCAAAACCCACCGGCAATATATGAGCGATCTGGTTTCTCTGCATTCCTACCAAGATGTAGCACTGCCACTGTTTTCTATTTTAGCCATTCTGCTAGTGTGCAGTACGACCACATTGTGGTTTTAATTTGCATTTCCCTAATGGCTGATGATGTTGAGCACCTCTTCATGCGCTCATTTGCCATCTGAGTGTGCTCTTCAGTGAAGTGTCTGTTCATTTCTTTTTGCCCATTTCCTAAGTGGTTTGTTTATTTCTTTATTACTGAGCTTTGAGTTCTTTACATATTCTAGATACTCTGTCAGTTATGTGGTTTGCAAATATTTTCTTTCAGCCTGTCACTTTTCTCAGCCTCTTCACATGGGCTTTCAGAAGAGAACGAGTTTTTAATCCCCAGCTTTTTTCTTCCTTCATTCTTTTTTCAGACTTTTGCCATGCATGTGTTCTCCAGAGAGAGACAGAGAGAGAAAATGAGAAATCATCCCCCCAGTGGGAATAACCATACCACAGTCCCCTTTCTTCTATTTTCATCTTGAGATTTTGGGCATGCACTCAAACTCACCTGGCAGGTTTTCCAAGCTGCCAGTTCTGGGACTTGAATTGTGGTGTTGGCCATGTGGGATATAGTCATCTTAACCACCATGCCATCTGTAGGCCCTTAGTGTTCTTTAAGTTTTATTTATTTATTTATTTTAAAGAATTATTTATTTAACTTTTTATTTATTCATTCTTTTATTTTAACTTGACCAGAGAGAGACATAGAGAGAGAGAAAGAGAAAGTGAGAGAGCAAGTCACCAGGTCTGGGACGTGAACCGCAGTCGGCCACGTGGGAGTGTCCAGCGCCTTAATCACCACTCCACCTGCTAGTCTCCGGGTTTTTATTACTAATTGTGCTTTTGGTGTCAGGTCTGAGAAATCTTTTGTTAGCCAAACATTTCCAAGATTTTCTCTTTTTTTTTGAGAGCTATTTTATAGTTAAGTCCTTCATTTTGAGTTAATTTTTTGTATGAGGTGTGAGATTTAGGTGAATTTCATTTTCTTTCTTTTCTTAAAATTATTTCTTTGCCTATGAATGTCCACTTGCTTCAGCACAATTCGTTAAAAAGACCATCTGCCCCCATCAACTTGCTTTTGCACCTCAGTGGACTGTGTATTGTCCATTTCTGGGTTCTCCGTTCTGTTTCATTGATCTCCGCCAGTACCGTTCCGTCGTCATTACAGTGGCTATAATATTGAGTGTAGAGAGAGTCCTAGCTTCTTCTTTGCCAGGATCTTTTTAGCTGTGCTAGGACTTGTGCTTTTTTTTCTTTTTTCTCCCCATATTGCCAGAGGGCATGTGCACTTACCAGCAAAAGAGAGAGAGAGAGGGAACCAGCAGTTAGCGTAATGGCTATGTCGCTGGACTCCCACGTAGTCGACCGCGGTTCACGTCCCGGACCCAGTGGCTTAAAAACTCATGCCGGGCACGTGTGCATGCGTGCCCAAGATCCCGAGAGGAGAATGGAGGAGAAGGGATTGCGGCGTGACCATCCCCCCTGGGGGGTGATATTACAAAGAAAGATGCTACAAACATTGGAGTACAGGTTTTTGTAAGAACCTAAGTTTTCATTTTTCTAAAATAAATGCCCCCGAGTATCATCGCTGAGTTATATGGTAATGGCATGGTGATTCCACAGGTAGTTTTTGTAGGAACTGACAGACCTTTCCAAAACCCACCGGCAATATATGAGCGATCTGGTTTCTCTGCATTCCTACCAAGATGTAGCACTGCCACTGTTTTCTATTTTAGCCATTCTGCTAGTGTGCAGTACGACCACATTGTGGTTTTAATTTGCATTTCCCTAATGGCTGATGATGTTGAGCACCTCTTCATGCGCTCATTTGCCATCTGAGTGTGCTCTTCAGTGAAGTGTCTGTTCATTTCTTTTTGTCCATTTTCTAAGTGGTTTGTTTATTTCTTTATTACTGAGCTTTGAGTTCTTTACATATTCTAGATACTCTGTCAGTTATGTGGTTTGCAAATATTTTCTTTCAGCCTGTCACTTTTCTCAGCCTCTTCACATGGGCTTTCAGAAGAGAACGAGTTTTTAATCCCCAGCTTTTTTCTTCCTTCATTCTTTTTTCAGACTTTTGCCATGCATGTGTTCTCCAGAGAGAGACAGAGAGAGAAAATGAGAAATCATCCCCCCAGTGGGAATAACCATACCACAGTCCCCTTTCTTCTATTTTCATCTTGAGATTTTGGGCATGCACTCAAACTCACCTGGCAGGTTTTCCAAGCTGCCAGTTCTGGGACTTGAATTGTGGTGTTGGCCATGTGGGATATAGTCATCTTAACCACCATGCCATCTGTAGGCCCTTAGTGTTCTTTAAGTTTTATTTATTTATTTATTTTAAAGAATTATTTATTTAACTTTTTATTTATTCATTCTTTTATTTTAACTTGACCAGAGAGAGACATAGAGAGAGAGAAAGAGAAAGTGAGAGAGCAAGTCACCAGGTCTGAGACGTGAACCGCAGTCGGCCACGTGGGAGTGTCCAGCGCCTTAATCACCACTCCACCTGCTAGTCTCCGGGTTTTTATTACTAATTG